TTAAATAATTATCCATAACTCTTTATTAAATGCACCTCCTACTCTCCCTAAGAATATTTGGTCAAGAATAAAATCATTATCAATAGTTTATAATCAAATACTATATACAAATGGTTATGTCTATATTTAGAATTTTAGAATGTCAATGTTCACTTTTTGGTCTACCTTAGTTGCATGTCGAGGGGCTTACGACTCTTCTCTCTAAGAAAAGTTAAAACGACTGTATTGAAGGGACATCAAAGTTTAAACAATGGGAGGACAAGAGTTTCGTAGAAACTACCTAACGTAAAATTAGAGAATGACGCGCTTCATTCTTTATTGCTTTGGATGTTTTGAGCACCGACTGCTAATGAGTCTAAAATTTCAGCTCAAGACTATGAATTTCTTCCCAATCAGTCACAAAATAGTATAAGACAAAATTAATCAAATAATTATAATAACAAGATGTAGAGTCTGGACTTTTAAAATTCAATTTGAATCAATGCATAAATTATGAACCAGATTAACTAACAAACAACCCTTTTTTATTTTTATGTAACTTCTCTTTCATCTCTTGAGTGTAAATTAGCTCATACATTTTCTTCCACTCACCATAATACCTACTAAGTCAAAACCATACAATTACAAAAGAAAAGCTAAACTAGAACTCCACTTGGATTAGAATAGAAAATTTAACAAAGAACAAGATGTCGACTTCTTTCGAGAATCAAATTTGCTCAAGCACGTGTTAACATGGTATGTTCCTCTATAATTCAATTAGAATTTTAAAAATATGTTTCGAAACTTGATTATTGTAGAAATGAGTCAAATTGGTATAATTTAAATTGGTACAATCAATTTGGTGATTAGTTTTCTTTTTGCAGACATTGAGATCATTTCAAAATGTATTATAAAAGACTAAAATGAATAAATGTATCTTAAAATCTCATTAGATTAAATATTTTTAAAATTCAACCCCCTAAATGTATTTCACGTTATAATTTGAAAACACATTGTATCAAAAAATATCTATGATATTAATATCATGAAGTAGGGGCACGATTAGGAATGCATTAGGCTGATTGTATTATCCTTTTGATGTTACACTGAAAAGTACAAAATAAACTTTCTTACCATGATTCCAGACAAAAAACTTAATTACATGAATATTGGTAAAATCTAAATCATCGATTCACTTCATCATTTTACGGTCCACATTTAAAATTTTCAATACTGAACAAGTATACTCACGTGCAACGCACGTGCACTTTACTAGTCTTTTAAGATAAAAACATCTTTCGATAGGTATAATAAGAGACGTATGTTGTTCTAAAGGAATAATGGGAAAACGACATATAGTATTAATTATATAATTATTGGCTCATTAAATAAATACAACTAGCATATTTACATGCATCTAAAATAAATATTATATTTTTATTATAAATAAACCCTAATTACTAAAGTAATATCTTCTTAAGCTTTGGCTTTTTTACCTTCTAATTAATTACTCATTTTATATGTTACAAATTTTTTTTTTCATTTATTTCTCTCTTCCTCTCCTTCCAACCATCTGACTTCTATTTCTGAGAAACGAAGTGCTTGGGATGACATTAAAGATGGAATAGATTTCTATGGAAATGCTATCGCAATGATTCAGTGCCAACTTGTGAACTAGAGATTGATAAAGTGCATATGAATGACATACTCAGTCTCTCTTGTAATTGTCACGAAATTTCAACAAGTGACAAGTCCCTTCGCATGATATATCTCCATTATTCAAACATGTCAATTTTAGTTTTAAGTTTAAGAAATTTATTTGGGAAAGCTCTTATTAATTAGCATTTTTTTAAATAGCTTGAACCTTAGTGTAAATTGAGCAAAAATGTGTCTCCCATCTCTAACTAATATTAGATCATCTTTTAATATTGCTATTGTGTTTACATAATAAGTTTGTTCATGCATAGGGTTATACTTTTCACTCTATTAATCCACGTCGGGTATCTGCTATTTAGTAAATTTGACCCTCTATGTTTGTATGTTTTGTTTCAGCTTTAAATGCTGATGATTAATATAGACTTTGATAAGGTAATTAAATTTGAAACATGAATTGATTCTTTTTTTGGTCTTATTACCCTATAAGTTCAAGTCTTCCATCTATTGGCCAATCTAATTATCTAATAATCCTAGCACATAAATCTCTTATTATGTTCTTTATGTGGGTTTCATGAATATTGGTAAAATCTAAACCAACTTAATTACATGAATATTGGTAAAATCTAAATCATCGATTCACTTCATCATTTTATGGTCCACATTTAAAAAATTTCAATACTGAACAAGTATACCCACGTGCAACGAATGTGCACTTTACTAGTTCCGTATAAATATATGAATATTCTAACCACAGAGATGTTTAAGGCAATTCAGAAGATATCAAGAGACAAAAGGCTTTGATTTGTCTGCATGCTTGACTAAAGTAATTAGAAGTGCATTCAATTTGGTCAGTTGCTCCAGGATAAATTCCCCTAAGATGATAAATGAAATGCCAAAATAAGAGAAGGTGCATGCTCAGCATCTTATGACGCACTACCCAAACTGGATATGCAAAATTCAATTTCAAGTAAAGAAGAAAGAAAATACAGGAAAAATGTTAGCCTATCAGTATATTCTGAAGCCTATGCGAGCCTGCAGACTAGATGCTGATTGTTAAATCAATGAAAGATGCAACATTTTAATCCCATCAATGGAAGCAATGCATACACAAGCATTTCAAGCAATATCAAACATCACCACGAAGTTCTTGAAGTGCAAACCTTATAAGGGTCATCAATCCAGTTGAAAAGAATCGTGTCTGCAAGAATAAGCAGATAATCAAAAACATATACCAACCTTCTACCAATTTCCTAGAAAATCCATATACACCTTTAAGCATTATTATCTGAAGGCTGAAAGATTCTCTTTACCTGGCAAAACAGACGCCATTCCCTTAGAAATATAATTGTCGCAATTGCTGCAGCACCAGAGTGTTAACCAGAAGATGAGAAGTTTTCTCAGGAAAAAAAAATGCATATCTAAAGCACTAGAGTTACAGGAACTGATGGATCCAGAGTGACCACAGAATAGTATGCACTTTGACAAGTTATGATTGCACATTTAGACAATTTATTACCCTCTCAACTCTAAACAATTGGCTGTACTATTCTTTCCAATATGACAAAGAAATAAACCATCATCAGTAAAATAACAACTCCAGAACTAGACATTTAGACCCTTCTTAGGCCAAATACTAAACTGATCAAAAGATGACCGCCAGTTTGAAGGGTGATAACAGCATATACGACAAAGAGCGTCCATTTCATTTTATTTTCAGCACTCTTCCCAGGAATTAACAAGGCACTGGCAAAGATTAAATCATATATAGCAATATTCTTTTCAATCTAACTACGCAATTGAAAGGATTTTTAAGTCTTATCGATAGAAGAAGTTAGCGAAATCCTATTTACATCAATTTTGGTTCTTTCAAATAGTTGTTCGATTTCTAGGGAAATTAATTATTTCTTCAAATTAATTGAACAATTCTTTCCTATATTTGTTCCGACACGTAGCCCAGAAACTAAAATGTGATAGTGTTGGATGCCAATTAAAACCCAAATTAAACCTAAACTTTTACAACAATTTGGCCCCAGCCTTGTTAACATGTTTGGATTATGATCAGGTCGAGCTAGACAACTCCCATCTGGATGCACTATAATTGCTTAAGTAGATTGATCGATATTTGGCTGAAATAAAAAGGAGCCTGAAGTTGTCAACCTCAAAATAATCTAGCATGTATCTGGTTGCCTTATGTGACAGAAGTAAATCCCTCAGCTCTTAAATATATTTATTGAACATAAGCAAAAAATGTAGCGAAATCATATGAAGACCGCATTTCCATGATATTAGTCGTAAAAGAAAAGACAAGTGAAAGGAGTGGACTGACCAGCCTGTCCTTTTAAAAGCCGCTCAGAGGATTGCCCACTTTTCCATGATCTTAAACTGGCAACACTCAGGGCCAGTAATGCACTGCCAAGAATAACACCAAAGCGAATGGCTGACGTGCTTCCAGTCAGCATAAACCAAAGAAAGCCTCCAATAGAGAGAAAAGCACCTACATGAATAAACAGTTCGTGTAAAAATTAACATTGAAATAAGCCCATATAAATGCCCAAAATCAAATGATTGCAAGTTTAACCCCAAAGACTTGCAAGAGGATTTTGATCCTCTCCACTACTAAAAAATAATTGAGAGACCACAGCTTTATTTCAACCGTTGATTATTTAGGTTTTAGTAGGAGTATGATAAGTAACACATTGGGATCGAATCTCAATCATCTATTAAACAATCAACTTTAGGAATTAAAAGTAGTGGCCTCTCCGCTACTTTTTGGTAGTGGAGAGGATACAAATTCATTGCAAAATAGTAAAAGGATAAACTATTCATCCAATTACAAGCACGGAATCATATATTTTACACATGTACATATACTTACCATAGGGAATCCCAAGGTGAAAATCTCTAACAGCAGATATTTCCTTCAACTCATTGGTGGAAGAAGCAAAAGTTTCGACAACATCCTTTATTGGTTCAGGAGATTCCTCTGCTGCTTTAGAAAGATAAACTTTCCCTTCTTCACTTATTTGGTTGGCTATGACATTCAAATCTTGTCTTGCTTTTTCAGCCTGGATCTTCAGTGTTTCAGATGTTTTATTTAGCATAACAATTGCTTGTTTGGAGTATACTTCGTATGCTTCTTCTGACATTGCCTTCATCTTTATTGCTTCCTCTTTAAAAATTTCTAAAGCTTTCTTCCATTCTTCCTCTGCTTTGTTAGCTTCTGGTTTAAGCTCATCCTTCTCCACCTCAATATCAGGGTTTGTCTGACAAACAAAAAGAAAACGAAGGCCAATATTCAAACAATGCTAACTCTATGGAGGGCAAAAAAAAAAAAAAGAAGGTACACTCTGCGCTTGTTACTCAACAAAATTTCCAAATAACGGTTTATGTGCCTATGCTTCCACCATATGTAGTTGCAAGGAGCAAAATGTCAAATCAGCTGGTTGATTTAAGTTTCTCAGCTTGATATGTCAATCCCGTTGATAAATAAAACCAACATTCTCTTTGTTTCATATAAAATTTACTGATTCCTACATGAGGTCTTCAATGTATTTAGCAAGTCTGAACACATTTTCAATTCTAATTTTTAAATTATTCATGATCTTGAAGTGTTAGACTATCAGTTGAAATCTCAAGTCTAAGAAAGTAACACTCTCCATACGCTGCCTTTACCCAGCACCAAAACTTGCAATAGTAATAAGACAAATGGTGATAATAATAAAATAACATTAGGATGGGTTTTAACTTTTTTTTAAAATCATACTCTTATATACACATAAAAGAGAATAGAAAAATAAAGGGGTTGTACAGTTATGCGGAAATAACTTACAAGTTGAAAATGCAACAAATCCTGCACCACCTTATGGAAGCAAGAATTACAGCCTCCAGAAAATGAAATTAAGAAATAAAAACTAATTTCTAACACGTTGTGCAATAAATATACCGTACCCCCACAAAGATGCCGTAAAAGTGGGTTAACAATAATAATTTCCCCAATTGCGTTCGAGCAGCCCCATAAAAGGGCTCGGCCCATAAAACCTCTATATACAGCGCGGTTAAGATAACCCCAAGCTCTGAGCTCCTTCGATGACCCTACGACAAAATCGTTAGCCAGGTTGGTGGGATTCTTCCGCACACGTGTCTGCCATCCTGTCGTCACACCTTTTCCAGGAATTAAGGACAGTGTCACAAACAGACCCCCTGATATGGCAGGATGCGAGCACATGTATGCCCCCGCCCCCCCCGCCTCGCGCCCGTTCATGCCAAGCCGTTTTCCTAGCAATAATAACAATAATGACCACTGGTAGTTTTCAGTTTTCTCTAACCTAATGCACTCTAGGGTTTTACTAGCCGCTTTACATTTCTATCATCTTCTTCTTCCTTAGAAAGATACTCATTCATCCATCAGAGGGCGTATCCGGGCTCACCCCGCTGTCCAGTCAGTGTATTCACGAGGGCTCAATTTCCAACACGGCCGAACGCTAACACTGATTTTGCACTGGTAAAATCATTCACCTTTATAACAGAGTTCTCTCTCTCTCTCTCTCTCTCTCTCTCTCTCTCTCTCTCTCTCTCTCT